CGTGAAACTCTTGCGCATGTTCGAAACGAATGTGCGCGACGCCAAGGCGAGAGCCACACATTAAAAGCGGACGGCGCTCCATCCGTGAAGCTGTTCAGAATTTCAAGCGTCAGGATCATAACTTGTAGAGAATCCTTGGCGAAACGCCCCCCCCGCCCTTTCGACTGGCCTCGGGGTGCGACAAGAAGAAGTGTTCTATGAGGAAGCGGAATGGAGGATGAGAAGGATGATTCGCATGAGGATGATGATGCTGATGATGATGATGATGATGATGATGATGATGATGACGATGAGGACGACGAGGAGGGAAAGAAAGGGGAGGAGGAGGAGGATGAGGAGGTGGCAGCATCTGACGGATTCTTATGCCATCAGGAACCGGGAACAAGAGGAGGAGGAGGAGGAGGAGGAGGAGGAGGAGGAGGAGGAGGACGAGGAAGAGGAGGAGGAGGAGGAGGACGAGGAGGAGGACAGCGACCGGTTCAGCCCGAAACGGTGGCAGACGGCGAGACATGGCAGCTCGGTGTCCTCTGGGCTGCTGCCGGTTTGCTGGACCTCGTGCCAGCTGGCGTCTGGGTCTGCGCCTGGGGCGTCCACGGGGACAGCAAGGAGCTCATCGGGGCGTCTGCTGCGGCCAGGTGCCTGTGGAGGAGGGGCTGGGAGGCGGGAGGAGGAGGACGCGGAGGAGGAGGGGGAAAATGTGGGAGCAGGCTTTCGGGTGAAGCATGGGGAGGAGGGGGGAGAAGCAGGAGGGAAAGGAGGAAGAGGAGGCGGAGGAGGAGGAGGAGGAGGAGAAGGAGGAGGAGGAGGAGGAGGAGGAGGAGGAGGATGAGGAGGAGGATGAGGAGGACGGGGAGGGGATGCGAGGAGGAGGGGGGAGGAGGGAGGAGGGAGGAGGAGGAGGAGGAGGGAGGAGGGAGCAGGGAGGGGGGGAGGAGCAGGACCTGCGGCGGAAGAGAGGGGAGTGCGTGCGCAGGAGGCCTGCAGAGTCGGCGGCCGCCTTCGCCCCCAGGGCGCGCGCGCGCTGCGAGGCCCCGGGACCGGGGGCGCGGTGGGGGAGGCGGGCCGCGACCGATAGCCGATGGGGTGCTGTTCCGTGTGGTGGGCAGCCGTCGGTCCTACCGCCTCTCCCCCTCCTCCCCCCCCTGCCCCTCCGCCTCCCCTCCCGCTCTCCCCTTCCCTTCCCTTCCCTTCCGTCCTTTCCAGTCTTCTCCCACCCCCCCCCTCCCGCCTCCCCGTCGCTCCTCCCTCCCCCCTTACTCCCTCTCCTCCTCCTGCCCCCTCACGGCTTCCCGCTACCCTCTCCTCCTCGCTCATCCCCCCTCCGCCAGCCTCATTCTCCTTCTCCTCCTTGCTCTCCATCACTTCAGAAAACATTATAATATCTTCGTCGTCGACGACGGCGGGGGGGCTAAAGGCATCCGGACGCTGAGCAGGTCTTGCGCAGAACTCGCCCGTCCACAGCGCTGAGAAGGATCACCAAAGACACCCTCGCGTGGTGACACGATCACGACAGCAAGTTTTTGGCCATGTTCGGCCCTTGGGGGCCTTGACAAGACCTCAGGGTCTCACGCTACCGAGGAACCCCGCATGCCTAGTGTACATCTGGTGTGCCCATGTGCAGCAATCGCCTTGCGGATCGGGTATGACACCCGCTCCTCCCGATCCACCTGCTCCTCCCCCTTCCTCCTCCTCCGGATCGGACGTGACACCCACTCCTCCTCCTCCGGATCGGACATGACACCCACTCCTCCCGATCCACCTGCTCATCCCCCTTCCTCCTCCTGATGCCTGACGATGCTGGCACGTGAACCCCCAAACGCCAAGGGATGCTTGCCCCCCCCCCCCTTGGGGCGGTCGCCCCCTTGGGCCTGGGCGGAGGAAACCAGGGAGCCCTGTGCTCGTGAAGCGAAGCATCACGCAGGGCCGGGCGAGGCGGGCCCCCATGGGGGGCGCCCCCTACAAATCCCGGGTGGGGGGGGGGGGAGAAGGAGAAAAGAGTCTCCTCCTCCTCCTCCGTGCTCTTCCTCCTCCTCCTCCTCCTCCTCCTCCTCCGTGCTCTTCATCCTCCCTCATCCTCCGCCTCCTCCGTGCTTCTTCGCGCCTCAATGCTCCCACCTCATCCTCCCCTCCTTCCTCCTCCTCCGCCTCCTTTCCTCCTCTCCTCTTCCTTCATCCCCTCTTCCTCCTCTCCTCTCTCCTCTTCCGTGCTCTCCTCCTCACTCCTCCTCCTCCTCCTCTCATCTTCCTCCTCCTCCTCCTCCTCCTCCTCCTCCTCCTCCTCCTCCTCCTCCTCTTGCCAGAACCATCCCGGCCCATGTTCGGTGCACACGCCCTCCTGGCCTCGGCGGGAAGGCGTGTGCACCGATCCCGGGCCCAGCAGCGGCCCGGCCAAGATCGGCTGTAGGGGGTAACGTTGGTTGAAGGGGCCCAGGGACACAGACACACAGACACACAGACACACAGACACACAGACACACAGACACACAGACACACAGACACACAGGCACACAGGCACACAGGCACACAGGCACACAGGCACACAGGCACACAGGCACACAGGCACACAGGCACACAGGCACACAGGCACACAGGCACACAGGCACACAGGCACACAGG